AGAAGAATAACAAAGCAACATATCGATTCCTATCAGCCTCACCGCTGAGTGAGTTTTAGCTCTCCTCCAGCTGTATAAAAGCTCCATTATATTAGTGCTAATACAAGCCGGCCTCCTAAAATCACTGTTGCCTCATAACTTAACAAGAAGATACTCTGTGCTTGTATTAAAAACGTTTTCTATTAGTTTTGACTCACTGAAGCGGGTTTCTAAGTGGATAAACTGGTTGCTCCTCTGGGGGTAAAAACCTTTAAAAACTGTTGTTCTTTCTATCAACTGAGTCTGTAACGCTTCCAGGTTAAACAGGAGGCTGAAGGCACCTTTTTCAGTGTTTCTTGCTGGAAAAGCGATCTCTCTTTACCGCTGTCCTGATCTAGCTTGTTTACTTGTTAGCAAAATGCGGATGAGGGAGAGAAACTGGCGGGGGCAGAGGTCAGAGTGCATGACCGCCACCTGTTGCTACACGGCTGGAACGGTGTCGTGATGCTCTGTCTGAACCAATTTGTCCGCTTCCTTTCAACAGAATCAGAGCTGTGGACGAAGACCGGGTTCGTTTGTTTTCTTTAGACTGAACAATGAACAGGAAGAGAAGGAGTCGTCCGCTGACTTTGATCGAATGGTTCTCAGTATTTTTGGATTTCCTCTAAACTCTGACGTACAAATTATATTCAAAAAATTCATAGAACACGTGAAGGGAAATGAGGTCTCCTGCAGAAATTTGCTTTTTTAAAATAAGTTTATTAATTTGCAGATACTAGAAACTTATTGATTTGATATTCAAAAAAAACATCTAATCTAATACTTCATATTTAACTCTAGGGACGTCCCAATCCAATATTGTTATCGGATATCCGTCCGATATCAGCAAATAAGCAAAAATCGTATATCATAGGCCTGCATCTAAAATCTTCGATATCAGCACTCCAATTCAAGCAGTCCATTCCAGACTCCGCTCCAGCATCTGGAAGCAGCATGCCGAGCCCGAGTGATCACAACAGCAGTGTGTACTAAGGTACGAACAAAGTAGCTAGGAGAAGGAGTGACATTGGCCGTATGGCAGTATTTTTGGTCTAACGAAAAGGATGTTGCAGCTGAGTGCAAAACTTGTCATCCACAAGTCTGTGCCAATATCGGCTCAATATCAGTATCGGCCAATACTGAAGGCTACAATATCGGTATTGTATCAGAAGTAAAAAAATAAAAGTTGTATCGGGACACCCCTGTTCAACAGATCGCCATTGGAGTCAATCGTCATGGTTTCATAAACACAAAATTGCCAATATGACTGCCTGACTAGTATTTCAGTAGTTTTGCCGAGAAACGCGGTCGTGTGAAGCGTAGGTCCAACTCAGAAGAGTAAACTGTGTTTTGCTCACAGGTGGATTCTCCTCATCCTAGTCTTACCCCAATTTCCACCGCATCCAGAACAGCTCAGATTCGGAATGCCTACGATCGGGAACGGCAGCGATTTTTGCCATCCACCAATTCCTACCAGATTTGTTTGCGAGGCGAATTTCGTGGCGGATTACGGACAGCTGGAATCGCAAGAAATCACAAGAACCCGCGGATTCACGTTCAATTGGGCGATATCAAGTTGTCTTTAGCCACATAGACTAACCATCTAAGCAGTAGATTGTGTCCTTCCAGAGGAGGAAATCTACTTCTTCCTGAAACACAGAGTGTTTTATTTTGAAAAGAAGCCGGATGTTTTATTTTGTGTCTGTGCCCGACTTCCTTTCTAGCACGGGTTAATCTGTGCTGAATTTATCCGGAAAAAATGAACTCTTGCGAAGAAGTCGGTGGAAATGGGAATGGTTACGATCAGCTACGATCGGCGGATACGACCTTTTCGTAGCCATTCTGGATGCGGTGGTAATTGGGGGTAACGCAAAAGTGTGTATTGTAGGTCCGACTCAGAAGCATAAACTCGGCTTTACTTACAGGTGATATTCCTGCTGCTCGAGCCTGGACACCCACATCCACACAAACAGAGTTTCTTCAGAGGGGAATATAAAGCATGAAAGTTAGTTTTATACAAACAAACAGTCCTGAAAATCTCCGGCTCATAGCCCACAGCACAAACCCCGTCTTTAAGGTGCTGTATCCCACCAGTACAAACAAAGAAGAGCTCAGTTGGACCACAAAACTGAGTCCAAATGGAGATAGTGTTCTGCACCATCTCCTGCCCTCAGGTGCTGTCTGTGTCAGTGTCTGCGGCGACGGTGGCGGTGGCGGCAGCGGCGTCTGGATTCAGTGTCAGTGGCAGTGAGACATCAGCGCCGGCGGCCGTCATAAGCCTCTCCGTAAATGTCAAGTGACAAAACGTGAACTCTAGGCGGCATAAAGAGGGACAACCCTTTAAAGAACGACTTTGTATAGATGTGACAAATGTATCATGGCGGTGTCACCGGGTTCATCCATAATTCAGCGCTTGTGTGCTTGTTTTTGTGTGTGTGTGTGCGGTGAGCGAGGAGAGGGAGAGTGTGATGTGCCAAGGACAGGAGACATATGGAGGGAGACAGAGTGAGGCGACGGGGTAGTGTACAACCTGGACATGTTTCAGCAGTTATGGAGGACATATTTCATACTTGGACTTTGAACACTTCACTCTCTGACGCTCTGTCTGTTGATGTAAGACTATTCCTGGGAGTGTGTGTGTGTGTGTGTGTGTGTGTGTGTGTGTGTGTACTGTACGTGCGCCGGTGTGTTTGGCCTGAGAGGGATGGATATTAAAGATGATTCCTGTCGCTCACAAACTGATGTTTTCCTGAGCGAGAAAGGAGGCGTTTGCTGTCATGTTCCCGACTGCGATGTCAATCACACTCATCGTATAAACTCACCGCAGAGCTCCGAGGAAAACGGCCTTTTTTTTTTTTTTTTCTTTTTTCGTCTCACACAGTGCAGCACAATAAACCGCAGCGTTGGAAATTAATGGTATATGAGGTTTTTTTAATTAAAGCTATTTTAATTTATGATTCTTCGCCGCCAAGATAAAGAAAACAGGCGTCCCAAAAGAGCGTAGAGAAAAGTAATTTTTTCAATAACTCCTTTTCACAGAATATCAATTATAATTGCTCGACTTGATTGAGAGTCTGTGTATTCAGACCTATAAGCCCTCGCCCACATAAGCTGCAAACTGAATTATGAGTTCAATGCACCAATAACACATATCAGTCTTTTTGACACTTTATGCGGTTTAAATGGCGGAGGATATGAAAAGCAAATGACAGAGAAATATATGAATAAAACATTGGCATTTGGGAGACATATAGATAGGGCGGATACGTCTTATGTAAATATGCAAAACAAATATCATTCCAGGGTATATACATAAATGGAATCTTCTCTAAGACTGGAGAGCGAGAGGATATGCTTTCAGAATGGAAATCTCATTAGTTTAATATCAAATAAAAGCAGTCATCTGCGGGGAGAGAGAGACACCGGCGCCGTGGAGAAGGAGCGAAGACACCGAGGGAGGAGGAGGGAAATCTGTCTTTGAAGTCGACCGTATTTACAGAGTGAATTTGGGGCAAAATTCAGCTGTTTTTGTCCTGGAAGAGGCAGGGTGTGTGCTCTTTATCAGTCTGAGTACAGAGGCAGTTCTGTTGTTATGTTAGTGTGTCGCTTAGACCCATTTGGACTTTGTTGTTTTCTTAAAGGCACTGATTTTTAACTACTGTCACTCTTATACCGATTTCTCTTCATGAGCTAAAAAACAAAAACAGTATTATCAGAGATGAGTATGTAGGGCTGGGCGATATGGCCTCAAATCAAGATCATAATATATTGATCAGTTCACCTCGATAACGATAAATAGACGATAACTACTCCACAAGCTGCTCACCCCCTCCCACATTAACTTCGTCTACTTCAGCCGCTCCAACTTTTGAACTGTCCTCCATCTCCTCACCTACGTCTCTGACGACCATGAGACCATAGCCTACCTACACACATCCAAAACCAACTTTGATTTATTTATTTCTTATACACTGAATATATTGACATGGGCAAAATGACGTTGGACAAGTTTATCATCTTTCATCTGAACTCACAGTTTGTTTGTTTTTTTGTCTCATAGCGGAAAAATTGTATTAGTTGATTTAATTTGATGTACAATGTTGATGCGATTGGAAGGTGGTTGCTTTTCTTGTGTTTTTTTAATGTCTTTCTATCAGAATAATATTTTTCATTATAAAAAATAGTTATCATAAATACATGTATATTCCTGCGACCCTGCTTTAGGCCTTGCTTCCCGTGATCCACCATCTCCAGCTGCTGCTGACCTCCAAAAAACGTCTTTGTGTCGTTCAGGAGCTGTTGGCAATTATATTCTATTCAAAAGTTTAAATGGACAATTTGCACATGTTTGTGCAGCACAGTGATTGGATTTCAATGACTGTTACTATGGATATATGATTTATTATAAATAAGAGTGGAGAGCAGACTTGATCGGCTGAAACGTTACTGATTCTGGAACGGGGACCTTGATAAAACCGGGATCTCATGCATCAGTTTACGAAGCACTAAGAATCTTTTATGATGACAGATAAGTTTATGTACAGATTGGCAACATAGGTATGTTTTTTCTAGCAATGCAGACTATGAATGGAAATGTCCTTTAAGTAGAGAAAGTTCACGACACTTGATAGAAATAAGTTTTTACACGATAAACTTCTGTTTTAAAATAGAAAGCAGGCAGTGAAAAGTATCACAGAAAAGACCATTATAAATAAATAAATCACTGTAAATATATTCATAGATCAAAAACAAAAGTTCAACAAGAAAATTAATGCAAAAATAATGATACTGTTTTTTAAAATCTACAGCATGTACTGTGATCGGGCTGCACCATTTTTTTTCGATTCCGATTTTTTATTCAGTGAAAACTTCACCAAACTTTAATTTAATAAAAAGTTTTTCTATCATTTCTCAAAACGAAACCACTGAAAACGATGTAGTTCATATGCCAGGCCAGTAAGTGGCGCTGTAATGCTGCACATGAAATGCACAAAAGACAGAAGAAGAGTACAGACCATGTGTATAAAGGTTGTTTCGGTCGGACACGCTCAGGCGCCATAAAAGAGTTACGCTGTGTGTCACATGATCGTTTCCAGAGATGCAGATAGACATCCACACGGAGATGAAATGGTCGTCGTTTACAGATTTATTCACTCTCTGACCCGTTTTCAAAAAGTACTGTTTACAGTCACCTGAAACGCCGATACGACTAAAAACTTTTGCGTTTACTCCTGAATTAGTTTCCATGGTGACGGGTTGATACCGCCTTCAGACAGACTTTGCAGCGGGGAGTGGTTTGCTCTTCATCTGAAACTGTGAAGTCGTACCAATTCAACACGACTGACTCGCTCTTGTCCTATTTAACCACGAAATTATCACCTTCTTTTACAAACACCATGTTTGTTTACACTGGTGTGTGTGGGAACTGGGGAGCGCTCCTGCAGGAAGGGGGAGGAGCCTACGGTGGCCTGGAGGCGCGAGACATGATAGAGAGGAAAATCAATTTGATGATTTTAATTTTTTTAACATCGTCATAATCAACAATCCGATTATGATTTAAAATCGATTAACCGTGCAGCCCTATACTGTACACTGATTCAACTCAGTCCAGGTCATCAATAATAACCAGGTTGTTTAATATTTTTTTTCACTAAATAAACAAAAAAGAGGTTCTGGTCGGGAGAAGGAGGTAAAACTGTTTGCTGTATTTCATGTGACTGTGGTGATATCAGCTCTCTCTCTGTTTCAACGCCAAACCACATCAAACGGTATCACAACATCTGCGGCGACAGTGCACATAATCGACGCTTTTATCACACCAGGTGCTGTGTAAACTATTCTAATGGGGAGGTGCAGCACAACACCCCCACATGACGTATAATTGCCAAAGCACGACTTCAAATGAGCATTGCACTAATACGGCACGTGTCAGCCGTCAGATCTTTGTTTACCTCAGCGGAATCGTTCATCCCATCAGTCCGGTCCGAGGGGGATACCATCAAATAACATGCAAATGATTTTTTGACGTGCAATCATAATTACGAATTGCATTTGCATGATGTAGGCTTTTATTTAATCGTCCCGCAGCCTCGTTCACAACATGTCCCGCCTGCTGATGACAGAGCGGCGTGATAAATGAAGCTTAATGAGGTAAACTGTGGCACTTAATCTGTACAAAAACATTTACACACGACCAGTTCACGCAGAGGAGAAAAGAACTCGCTCGATCAAAGGAGCAATTATCACACAAATATTATTAGCTAGCTGAGTCCTCAGTTTTTGATTCACTTTGTGGCGTTAATAATAATAATAATAATAATAATAATAATTAAAAAAAGGACTTTACTGTTTGTAGAGAAACGCCTCCCTCTGCCCCGTTAACAAATAACCACTGAGCGAATCTTTAAGGATTAAAACAGACAGAAATGAGTGTTTGACGGCTGCTTAAGTGCTTCATAATAAGAATGTGTTCCAGATGGAGATTTCTATTTACATTTTTATGGATGTGCCTTATTGATATTTCTCCATAAAGACCATTTTTTATGCATTAAAATATAATGTATACAGTCAATTTGTTCCCAACAGGACCGGAGAGGGACATAAAGCCTCCGACCCAATCATCTCCTCTTACAATTATTAATCAGTTTTTATATATCATATATATTTATAGATATATATAAAAAGACCAGCCTGCTCTTGTATTATACATTATTCACCGTGTTACAACCCTGACAAGCACCTAAATGAAGGGTGCGTCTATTTATTTATTAATCAAAAACGCTGTATATGTCAAGCTTCAATAAAAGGCTCCCTATCCATTTGGAGACCACCACTACATCATAATCATCGTCATGACGACCACCGGCAGCGACCAGCGGCCGCCACATCATCCGGCATTATATAAAAAGCCCAAAATGGGGCGTGTTGTCACAACCCGTGATGGATTCAAGGGGCAGCGCTGAATGTTGATCAAGGTGAGGCATGGAGGAGGCCGCGCTTGTCAGGGACCCGCCAGCATCCCCAGGCAATCTGTGCAGTCAGGAGATGGAAAGAGCGGCGCTCGGAAATCCATCATGTGCCACCTACGAGTCCGGCGCTGATAGAGAGGAGCCGCTGTCCCGCCCCCCCCACCAACAAACAACACGTGAGCGAGCTGGGGTTTGAGAGCCGATGGCACAGTTTCCACAGGGGGAATGAATTAATGGCGCATGTTTGCCGCTGGTGCTGAAGAAGCTTTTTTTTTTTTTTTTTTTCAGCTGCGCAAAAATGAAAAATCACACAAACAGCTTTTTTTTTAATGGATTTATAAAATTATTTAGGCTTCAGGTTGATTTATATTCCAACATTTTTGATGCTTCCATTTATATTTAAATGACTCCGAGAATCTGTCATTTTAAAGGAATAGTTCACCCAACACTGAATATGTGAGATTATTCCAGGTGTTGGGGCGAACACTGACTTCTACATGTTATTTTTGTTTTCACCTGAGCAGCAACGTTCACTTCATCTAAAACACAAAACAGACGAGGACTGCTCAAGTTTAACAGAATCTGTGGTTATGACTTTATAGGGGTGTGACGAGAAATATTGTCGAGTTTAATCTCGTCACACCCCGATTATGTGCTGGTTGTCTGCCGAACAGCAGACGAGTTGTTTCTGTTATTAGTTGCAGCTGTCTTTATTTACTGTGCACATTTTAGAGACTCTCTTGGATATTTATCATAAACTTAGAGTGTGTATATAACTATAGTGCTAAACTTTACTGTTAATGATTATTTTGTCCACAGGGGGTGCCAAACTGACACATACCGAAAGTTCCTCACTGCAGCTTTAATTTCAATTAACTAAAAGTGACGATTATTTTTAACATCTTTGCAATAACAACCCGAAACTCACTGACTGAAGATAAAATCCTAGTTATGTAACATTGATGACTCAATATTTGAAGCCAACAAGTTTAAAATGAAGTGAAACATCAACCAGACCGAAATACTAGAAATTAACTCTCAGTTATTAGTCGAATAATTAATACTTTTCAGTGAAGAGGTCTGATGTTTTATGGAGCTAATCTTTATTTATTAACTGACCACTCACATTACAGTGAGGTTCAGTATTATCCTGTTGAACCTGAACATCACTCTCTGTCCGTTTATTCATGAAGGTTCAAAATCATCTAAATTAGACGGAAAAACACGGTCGTAATTTTTCACTCAGTCTGATGTATTTGTGGTTTTATCACAGCTTCATGTCTTTTTCTAATCCCTGCTAAAGACATAGAGTATGTGATATATCAGGTCAGTAGATAGATATTACAGTAGTTAATACTGAATGTATTGGAAACGCCGTCTTCCCTCTCGTGTGCTCTCGGTGTTGAGGGAGAACTTAAAGGAATTGATTTTGAAAAAAGGAAATTTAATTTTCTGTGAGTCCATCGAGAGAAAACTCTCCTCCAGCTTCCTGCTCTCCTCTCTGAGCATTGTTAGGAGTGTGTGTGTGTGAGATATTATTTCACAGCATCTAATATCTCCAGATGCAGTTTAAAGTCAAACACTTCCTCAGGCCCTCACACAGACCGTCTCTTCTCTCTCCACAGTCCTGGTCAGTGGACAAACACTTCCACAATGACCGTGTCCCTCTGCAGTTACTTCCTCAGTCATGTAAAGTCATGTGACCTCGTACAAAGACATGTGGTTGGTGGACTGGTCAAACATACTGACTTATTCCCAACGGATGTTCAAGCCTTTCATAAATCTTTTAAGTTATTGTAGTTTCACATCAGAGACCCAGGACCAGATCAGAGACTGTTCCCAAAGTCTGGTTCATTTGATTCACTATCGTATCAGACTGGATCAGCATGAGGAGCTGGTTTAGGGACTGATTCATGCATACCCCTGTACAGTACCACAGTTGTACCAGAGAGAGGATCAGTGTAGGAATCTGAGAACCAACAAAAAAATAAACATCCACAGCAGCAGCAGGATGGATCCTATTGTCAACACTGGCCGATACTAGAACGTTACTCTGGTTACTGTTAATAGTCCCAGTATTTTGAACTACATGTAAACTAGATTATAGGTTCAAACTTTACCCCGACTACAGGAGGAGAGAGCAATTCATTGATTTGTCGATGCATCACAATGAACCACGTGGCGATTCGGCATTGATTAATTAACGTTAATGCTTAAAAATAGATAAATAATAGGGTGACGCTTTGCCACAAGGCCAGAACAAAAAAACACGTAACCAGAACCTTGACATGCGCACCGCCTGGACTGTTTAAGTGAGTTGGACCACAAGAAACAGAGCGCGTCTTTGCAAAATGGCAACAGCTTCAGCAGCCGTCAAAGAGCGGCTGATTCCCTCATAACCGGGGTTGACTATAACCGTGTGGAAGTACTTTAGATTTTAGGAGAGAGCAAACAAGACGACTGACAAGACCAACACGATTTATAAGATTTGCAAATAAATAAATTTGATGTTAGTACGTGTTTACGTACGTAAACAATGAACTTAATAGGTGTCTGGTATGTAAACGTAACACATTAACAGTTACTCAGATAACTATAGAATAAAGAACAGAACAAGTTTACCAAACTCTCCATCTCTCTCCAAATCACTAAATCCATCGACTTCTTCATCCTCTGTGTCTTCCTCTGCGTAACTGTCATCAGACTATATGTGAAATAATGTACTATATATAAATCACACCTGAGTATAAGTCACAAACCTAGTCAAACTATGAAAAAAAGTGCGACTTATAGTCTGGAGAATACGGTAATTAACTCGTTAAATCAGGGCTTGACTGTTTTCAGTGTTTCCTGCCAACAAAGAGGGACTCTCTGTAAGTGGTCAAAGTGAAGTAGGTCAAAGTGCAAATGTTTCCATAACAGTCATAAAATATTTGGTGTCTTTGAAAAATACGAGTCAAATGTTCAAAAAACCTTGTTACTGACTTATTGAGTGTAGTTTTCGAGGAACCGAGTTAATTGATTGACTATTTATTTACGATTATAGACACAGATGAAGAGAAAATCAATCTTGTTTGGAAAAAAGCTTTAAAAATGGAAATAATCAAAGAATCGCAGCACCAACAATCGAATCGTGAGGTACTCTTGTTGGAACACCGACTGACTGTTTTACTTCGATGGACCAACAGGTGGCTCCACTCTGATTATCGCCACCTTGACTGAAGGGTCCTGTATGCGCCACAAACTGACGTCCCACCTGTTCCGATCCCGAGCGGAGGAAAACAGGCCGAGTTTCCATATTTAAAGGGTCGACTGTGTCGCCTGTCTACATGCAGGAGTGTAGGTCAGCGGTGATGGAGCAGCAGATGACGAGCCCTCTGAATATTCAACACAATTACAGAACATGAAATATGATGCAGATGGAACAAACTCAGATCAAAGCGTGTAATTAAGCATCAGAGGACAGTTTGAGAGAGGGAGGAGAGCCAGAGATTAGAGGATGTTGGTGAGGATTGCATCGATCACGCTCTATAGCAGCTGCTGCTAAATTGGAGCCATAAATTACGTGTTTAT